CCTCCGGGTTGCAGAGCGCCGCGTGTCTCGACCGCAATAACAGTGAGTAATATTATCCGCCGTGCGCGCACTGACCGCCCGGACCCGGATTCGCTGGTCGACTGTACGCGGAATATCGTTTATGCTGCGGGCACCTCTACTTACACTGCTCCGATAATATTATTATCGCGCTCGTTACGGGGCGCGTCCCCTCCGCGGCCGTGCCCCGTCATGCCGTTCGCGACGACGGTTGTACGGGCCGTTTAATATTATTACCAACATGTTGTACGATTACGATTACCGCCGGGCGTAATATAGGCGCAGCCGTTACGAGCCGTAACGACACCGCCGCCTATTGCGATATTTCGTACGGCGTTGTGTAGCGCGTAACCGTCACGTGCGATTTCCACCTGTGTCGCGCGTAGGAACGACACGGGACCCGCGGGCGCTGCGGACGACGTCATCGACGTCCTCGTCGTCGTCATCGCGGCCCGCCGCCGTCTCCGGGGGGAGCCGGTCGTCCTTGCCAGAAAAAAAAAAAAAAAAACCAACCAAACACCGAAAGACCTTTCACGGCGTACGTTCCCTTCCGCCAGAGCCCCCCTCCTCCCCCCCCCGACCGGGATGACGGGCCTCCGGAGTATTCGGTCTCGTTGTTGTCGGTCGGCTTTTTTTTTTTTTCTTCCTTCTGTTCCGTCTCCGCGCGCATAATACGTAGGTGGGTTTACGCGCGCGCGCGTGTGTGTGTACATATATTTACGACCGAGCCTCCCCTGCCGCGGTAAAGTTATTTTCGTATACGAAACGAAAACGCCGACGGCCGCAGAGAGCGAGAATTCTCGGCGTTCCGGCGAGGATTTTTTTTTTCTCACTATCCGGCGCTCCGCTCAGCGGCGATCGCGCCGCGCCGCTCGGCGGCTGCCCGCTCGGGGAGTCCGAGCGTCGAATTTCGGCAATTTTCTCGCCGTCATTACCGTCTGGGTACCGCGGATTATGCATTTCCCGCGTGCGCCGGCACCGCGGCCGGACGCGCTCTGCGCGCCCCGGACTATTCTTGCGGAGGTTCGGAAAACGCGCTCCCGGATTGACCGGATTGACGTCACCGCGTATTGACGTCGGACGTTACGTTCCCGCGTCACACTGTCACAGCCCAACTGGCCGGGTAACGTGCAAAAACAATGCGGAATCAGCAAAATCAGCTCAATTTTGATTCCAGAGTAAAAGCGCCTATTGCGGAAACGCATAGAGAACAATATTTCGGAGGGGGAACGCCGTCGTTGTTTTTTTTTTTTTTTTTGAATTACGGACCATTGAAAAAGTTACAGTTATCGAAAAAAAAGCAAAAAAAAATAATAAAGGTTTTTCGTAGCTTTTATATTTTGAATAACAAAGAAAAAAAAAATCCCACGGCATTCCCTCCGAAATATTGTTCTCTGTAATACATTTCGTAATCGGTATTTTTGCTCTAAAATCAAAACCAAGCTGATTTTACTTATTCTGCGTAAGCATTGTATTGTGCATCGTACGTTACCCTGTAGTCGGACTGAGACCGTAGATCCTCTTAACGTCAGACATAAATAATACGTCAATATGATTATAGCCGACAAAACAATATTATCAGGACACTATCAGGCACAAAACGTAATTACATCGCGCGTATCTGATTACCGCGGTTATTCGGTTCGCTATTGCCTAATCCGATCGAACGGATTGCACTGACGGACGTGTCCCGGCCGCAGCGGTCCGCGCGTAAAAAACACGTGCCGATAACAGACCCGGAGGACGTCACGTCGCTGCGCCCAACGAGACGGATCCGTCGTTTTGTTCGAACGCGTAATAATTATTCGTTTTGTCAATTGACGCGTCTAAGATCCGCGATCCACTCGCGATTATCTAGGTCTTGTTCACAACGTGTAAGTCACTACACCTACTGTACGTTATGCGACGGCCTTTTTTTTTGTTTTAATTTTCTGCGCCCTATAACCCATAAAAAAAAAAAAAAAAAAAAGGCCATAACGATAATTTTAGTAATACCCCCCGACCCCCCGACTCCCGAGAAAAATTGTTTGGATTCAACACTGCTCGTGCTGCGTTACACAATATTATGTAGACGAACTCGCGTGTAAAAAAATTTCGAACGTATCGTTGGGAATTTTACGAGTAAATAAAAAAACAGATTTTTTCACGAATATCGCGCGAAATAGCCTTGAACGGTGATACATACAAATTATATATTAAATAATATATACCGGAACCGTATTATGATATTATTGTACAAGTAGGTGGGTATCTCGAACTCGGTCGAGAATATTATTCAAGGGCCCGTACAGAGTAATAACATCGACCTACGAGCGTGCGGGTATTTTTCACGTGTAAATTATTCGGTAGGTATTCGAAAAAAAAAAAATAATAAATATAATCCTCGTATTTCAATTGCTTAATTTTTTTTTTTTTTTTTTTGCCAGCGGCAAAAGCAGCAGAGACCATAGGGCGCAGCGTTAAAACAAACAGTACGAAATGATAATTGTTTATAATCATATAAAAATATTTGTGTATCGTAACCAATGCTACAACGCAGTGTACTATAACGAATGCGTATTTTGTTTCCGTTCAGTATTATAACCTAATTACTTATGTAAATAGTTCAGTAAAAAAAAAAAAAAAAAAACGATAGAGAAATTGGTGACCCGATAACGGAAAATAAGAAAATTCGGACGGAGCTTAACACTATCGGATTCCGACAGTGGCGGTTTTGATATAACATCAAGAGGGGGGGGGCGATTTTAAATTTGTTGGGCTCCATATCATAATGACATATATCAAATAAAAGATAAAATTTGTTTATGGTCCTATCACAAATTATACATTATTTTCATTTTAGATTCTGAGTGGAGCTTAAGCTTATGGTTTTACAACTACTTTATCTGTGGACAACTTTTCTACCAGAGATATTGCTCTGGTAATCCGATGTATACGATGTCGCAACTTTTTTGAAAGCAAATTTTGTTGGGAAGGTACTTTAGGGAGGTAATTTTTTAAATTTTCCCAAAAAATGTGAAAAACCGGGGAAAAGCATTGGAAAAACGAGAAAACAAATATTAAACAAATATTGTTAAAGAAAAGATATAATGCCTATTTAATTATTTTACCACAATGTTACATGTATACTCGTATTGTTGACAAATCATCACTATCAAGTATCAACTGAACTCCGCTCAGAATCGTTTTTTCGTTAGCAATGGTTTATCGTTGCTTACGTACAGAGTATACCTAATAGTTGACAAAAAAAAAAAAATGTCCAGAGAGTGATGGGAGGATTGCCCTCCTAAAAAAACCCCAGTGCGGATTCGTATATTCGATCATATAACGTTGAATTTAGGAGAGTGGGCTCGGGACGACGGAATGCCCAGGGTCGGGTCCGGGGGCTTTGCGAGGGCTGTAGCATCGGGGGCCGCAAGGCGAAATGCGCTACATTCGGGTTTCGTGTGTCTTTTTTTATAGGTTCTGACTTTTTGAGTGTAGCAAATGAATCGCTATTAAAGTTTGACAAAGATGCGTGTTTTTTACTGGGAAAACACTTTTTAGGTTGATAAAAATCTTTTGATTTTTTACTTGTCCTAACCCTATAAGAGATGCAGATTTTTCACTCGACGACATTTCAATAATTGAAACATTTATCGACATACTCGGAAACTCGACTCTAGATTTTTTTTTCGGTTTGTTTTTGAAATTACAAGTAGTATCGATACACAATATTATACTGACACGACTGCCGTTCAAAGTTATACAATCAATCAAAATTAATAAATTCGAATTTATTAAGGTTTCAGGTAAAAGGACCTCGGCATGAGTATACACACTGTACAGTCACCCTCAAAACTACGGCCGTAATCCGACCCTGGGAATATATCTTGTTAATTACAAATATTGTGTAACATATTATTATACGATAAATGTCATTGTGTTCTATATTGTTATTTAAATTAATTATTGAACAGTATTTGATTATTTCTGTGGGAAATCTCGTCTGCAATCATAATAATTTAATTTTGTTTAGTATGGTTCATTGCAATAAAGATTATCAACGAAAATCTAAACATATGATAAGGCAAATAATATGCAGTAACGTACAAAGCGGGTACACTCATTATTTTGGAAAGCAATAACTTTTTTTCGGAATTTGTTTTACAGAACATTTTGTCTATGAATATTAAGACACCGAGATAATGAGTGTACCCACTTAAATGGGTCACCTTGTATAGGTACAGTAATTATAATTATTAATGATTATTAAATGTTGACCGACAGACGCGGAACGGCACGGCTCACAGACGAACGAGTAATCGATTATGGACGAGAAAGTGATCACTCAATAACGATTACGCTGATATCATTTTTATTTTGACGGTAAACTTAAATACGCAGAATTAATATTCGAAATTTCCACTCGAATTTGAATACACTTATTTTAAGATTTTGGAATATTGCATATTTGTATTGTCGATAAGAAAAAAAAAACAATTTTTGTGTATTGAATTATATCGAAATAATTGCTATGCGTGTCGATTAAAGATAAAAGTACGCATTTTTCGTTATTAGCTATTGAAATACTCTATACCAATTACTAAATAGTCATTGAAATACTCGATAAAAAAAAAAAAAAACATGTACCACTTCGCACTCTATTTTTTTATAGTGTCACAACAATATACGAGTACGAGCGTGTCGACCCGCTGCGGCGGTGAAATGAAACGCCAAGCGACGACGGGCGGAGATCTCCACCAGAGCGCGGCAGCCGCGTGGCGACGGCCGTCGTTCGAGCGCCGAACGGACCGTACGCCGTATGCACGTGCCCGTAAGATGGCGTTGCTGACCGTTAGGCTTTCAACGACCGTCGTGTGGGGCCCGTTTTTGGCCGCTTTCGGTGCACTAATCGCGTCGGCCCCGTCGCCGCACACGCGCGAAACGCTTTTCGGACAACGTCCGACACCCCTCGGCCGCCGGCGACTTTCGGGCGTCCTCCAGACGACGCGAAACGGACATCGGCGAAACCGCCGGGTACTTCGATGCGTTTGGTGGCCGACGGCATATAAGACCTGCCGACAGTCGTACAATTTGCATCAGTAGTGGTTACAACTTAACCATTACATTACCATATGATGAAGCAACGTAATGAAAATCTTTAATGATTACTCGTGTTGCGCCAATGGGAACTTCTCCAGAGGATCCCATTGGAATTCTGATGCCCCTCTAAAACTACTGATGCCTAATAATTTTAATTTATCAATGTGATCCGATTTTTCCCTCTTTAATTTTACGCTTAACGTTGCACTGAATTCAACTCTCTTATTTACTACACACCGAGCGTGTACATTTTACATCACTCCGTTTTGACGGCCGTCTCAAAATCCCGTCGTACTAAACGAGCCTGTTGTACAATGCTCTGTTTTTATTCAAACGTTGATGCTCGTCGGTAACCAACAATTGTTTAAGATCCCTCCAATCACACGCCCGTTCTGACGGAAAAACAGAATCGAAAAAATCCGTACTCGACGTAGACGCTCTCCTATATAATACATCGTAAAATTATTCGGCAAAAACACATTAACAACGTTCGGCACGTTTGATTATATCGCGTACCCCCATTTTGATGCGGGGGCGGTCAAACGGAGCGACTGTGTGGAGACGCATCGGTCGTTTTCACTTCACAATTATTTGTACACGCGTAGTGGTCGGTATGTTAACTGTGTTTTATATAACACGTGAAAAATCGAACGACAATAATCATTAAAGACGCTAAAGAATCACCCGTCCGGTGATAAGACCATTTCACCGCCACCGTTCTGGTTGGACGCGTCGATGAATTGTAGCTGCCATAGCTGTAAACTCGAGTTTTGTCCAACACGATTCAAGTAAGGACACAGTGTTTTCCTGGTTTGATTAGGTTACAATGCGTTTGAATAATATCATAAAAGCGTGTTACGCGTACGTTCTTATCCGAGAACAATAATAAACCTTTACACACACTGTGCGAACTGCGTATATATTTATAAATGCGATGGCTATGAAACAGTGATAATATTTACGTTTCAAAAAGTACATAATTTAAAAAAGGTTTAATATTAATTTTTTTTTTTCTCTCTCGCGTTTCCCTATAATATTGCCGTTGTTGTTCGGGCTCCAGAAACACGTAAAAGGGACAAGTACGGGGGAAATTAATTATTCGAGAACGTTTTTTTTTTTTTTTTTTTTTTGTTTTTGTTATTACTTTGCCCGGGGTTCAAAATAATATGATGGTACGGTCACGACGCCGCTGAATCTAGTCGGGTAGGCACACAGCTCACAAATGATTGAAATTTACGTGTACATCATGTTTTGTGTATGCAAAAAAAAAAAAAACCGAATTCATCGCAATGGACGCGTGAAAGTCGTACAAACCGTATAAAGGTTGTTAACACCAGTGGAAAGTGATAAAAAATAAATAAATACAAATTATACATCTTTATTGATTTTTTTTTATTTTACATAGGTGGTACCTCGTGTAATTGTGTTTAATTGCTGCAGCGCACGCGTACCCATATATTACAGTTTTGTAGTATTACGCGATATGTAATTTAAAACATTTTCGATCATATTAAAACCAATAAATGTATCTAATCAGTAAAATAATTTATGTGAAATTTTCATAACTAGTTTTATTACTATATCTGTACATATACAGGGTGTACCACGAAGATCTGGCACCCAAAATAATGTTTGTTCCGTTCAATACTCGTATACAATATGCTGCGAGATTTAGATGTTTTGTACGTTTTCGTGTCAAAATCTCGATCGTATAACAACATACATTATTGCAATATTATCGATTTAGTTTATAAATGGGTACATTTAATTGTTTACGGCGAGTGTATCGAGACGAATAGCGATCGGATGGGTACGGTTTGAATGTAAATGTCGATAAAATGCCATAACCTATACGTTATATGTAAATTTCTAATGATTCAAATCTACAGCAACGCCTCAAATAATAATAATTTATAATCAGTGAAATAGTCGTTTTTACGCGTGGATCATTGTGCGCTGTAATAATTGTAATTTTGAGTATTGGTCGGTTTTTTTTCATTAAACTAAATTAGTAGGCACCATAAAATTATGAAGACAATTGTATGCGGTGCGTAATCACATTGCATCGGGGTGCAGGAGCGCCGATCGTCTAATTTATCTACGACGTGTGTCACAGTAGATTTTGTAACTTGGGTGGTTGGAGCCTTGTTGTGCGCCAAAAATTTACTTATAATCATTTTTAAGTATACCGGTAAATAAATTCGATGATTACACGAATGATTAGTAAAGTGAGTGTAAAGTAAATAATGATTTATCAAAAACGGGGTCAGCCACAGCTCGGTATAGTTATACTAGCTTACCTAGGTACAATCGGATCAAAAAATGCATTTAAATATTTGTTCAGTTAAAAAATGAAAAAAAAAAATTGCTTTATACATTGAATTATGTGGGTGCTTTGATCAGCAATTGTTAAATTGAAAGAAAAATCGGGGGGCCCTTGATGTACTTGACGTACGACGTCATGGTATATTCTAAACACTTCGGCGCCACTAGCGGGGTGAGATAGGTGGTATTATTCGATAGGTACTATACTCGAATCACAGCATAAAATATCTCAAGCGGCCTACGATACCGACTATACGAACAATTATTGTATTTTATCGCGATTTCACGAGTGAAAAACGCTTATTACTTGTATGCATAATAACCTAGATCCACTTGTGATTTGTAACACTCGTACATAATGAAAAATGTGCGCACCAATATATACGTCTATATTGTATATGCAAAGCTACTGCAGCTGCAACATAATATTATGATGATATCGTAACGTTAGGTCGATTATAGTTGATAATATAACATTATCATAGTGTTAGCGTGTATCGTAATTATTTGCTAATAATCAATAAATACGATTTTAACTATTTTTTTCTTATCGTATTATAAGGAATAAAAAATACGTTTGTGAAGATTTTTTGAGGACCTAGGAAATTGTAAACTTACGATGTGTACACGTACCGCTATTATAATATAATCAATATATTATTATGTGCGGTTATCGGGGCCCGGATTAAGGGCTGTGGAGGCCCGGGATCCCATACTAGTACAAATAAGAACAAATAAGTAAAAAAAAAAAAAATTCCCAAATATTTGATTCAACTTATAATCTGGGCGCGGCGTTTGTAGTCCGCGAAATAACACAACAAAACTTCATAAAAACACAAGAAATATTATACGAAAAATATACAAAATATACGAAATAGTAAATATGTTTCGTGGACGTTGCTTTACAAACGGTATTACCACATACACCAGATTTGCGTTCAGCGCGGTCCGCTTTGTGTTGTCAATTTAAGAGCGAATTCACCTATTATCTAACTTAAAAAATAAGAACATAACCTGTGTAAGGGTACGACATTCTTTTTGTTCGGTATTTTAATGAGTTATTAGCGAGTTATGAACACGTTATGAACGAGTTATGAACTTATAAGTGGTTTTTTTTTTCTATATATCTGTAAACAACATTCATAGGAAATTTCTCGCAGTATTATTGGTCTAGTGGGCGAATTGAGGTTATTTTTTGATTTTCCTAAATAGTTTTTTCAATAACACTTTTGAAAAGTTTGCTAAAATCGATTTACTAAGTTTGTCTAGGTAACTGACGATATCGAAATTATTTAAAAACGATTATAACACGTTTAAAAATTAAATTTTAGAAAAAACCCTAAGTAATTGTATATACATACAATGGTATTATCTTAAAGTTTGATGATAGGAAAGTTCTATTTAATATTGAATCTAACTAGGTAATAATATTAATTGTCACTTTTCAAAGCAAATTCGGTACGGAGGCGTCACACGCAGATATCACGTCCGGATATTCCGGATATCACAACACGATACTTTAAGTATATGAAAATGTTACCACAAACCAGTACCTACTTATATTATAAAATGCGGATAGAAATATTATTTAAACTCGTAATCTATACAAGCAAAAAAAAATTTAAAAACTATTAATGACGAAGTAAAATTTAAAAAAAAATATATCATTATAATATGTTAAATAATTGTAAAACACGTTAGTGTAGTATTTATAATACTGGAAATTCATAAAAGTAAAATCGTTTTAATATGTTAAACGCGTTTGGGTGATATCATAATACTAAAAATTCACAAAAATAAAACCGTTTTACGTTAAACAAGTTCAAAACAAGTTAGTATAATTATAATATCGTAATACTGGATCCCGAAAAAAATAAAATCGCGTTGACGCGAAATCAAATTTAGTACAAATATTTTTTTTTTTTTAGAAACCTAAAAATCGACGAATATGAAACGTTCTTGATTTTTTTTGCACTATAGCTTTATATGTGCGATCAACCCACTATATAAAATCCGTTAGTTTACTCGTAGTTTTATACGTGAAATTAAATAGGTATAAATGTTCATTAGCGAATTACATCGTGCAGTTAATTAATTGAAAAATCAGATGGACGAGCACTGACCACGACGGAAAAGAGTCACGAGTACACAGCCGACTAACAGGAATACAATGTTAACGGGATCGGCAAAAAATATAGCAGTAAAATGGAAAAAAAACGGCTTTGCGTAACGGGTCATGTGGATTTATTTTAAACGAAACGCCATACATATTTGTAAAAGAAAAATAAATATTACAAAAAATCTATAAAAGTATAAACCAGCGCATTAAATACAATCCAATTTTTACCAATGAGAGATTTGAATTATAAAACCTAAAAAGTACTTTAAATCAGTATATTTTTTAACATAAATCCGACGAGAGCACCGCTGGTGTAATGGTATCATGCAAGATTCCCATTCTTGCGATCCGGGTTCGATTCCCGGGCGGTGCAAAATTTTTTTGATTTTTTTTTTTTTCTAATACGGTAATTTTTTCGTTTTAGACTCTCACACAATAAACGGCAATTATAGTATACGACCGGTAATCGTTATTACAACGATGCGTCATCGTTTTGAAAACATACGTGGCGATTATAGTAAGGCAAAATGTGACGTGATCTAATTATTCTAGTGACTATACTCGCAGACTGTAATATTACAAATGTAAATCCGTAATTTTGTTGAATTCCTCGGATATAAAAAGAGTTATAATTTTTTTAAAACACCGTGGAATAGTAATTTTGTACCATTATCGTGGCAAAATAGACTTTATCGTGATATTGCTGTGGTCTATAATATCATATCCATTGAGATATCTCCCGAAATAGTGAAGACAATCAAACTCTAATGTTTTATTTTATATACAAATCACAAAGTCACGACCCGCAAGGATACTGCA